AAAAACCCGTCCGAAATCCACCCCTGTATAGATATATATTCAGATAAGTCCTATCGTAACCTCATCGACTCAAGAAGAAGCCAACGGCGTGGTCAGCTGTATATGCTGGCTTGCGGCTTTTGCTGCATTCTCATTATCGCCCTTACGGTAAGCGTCTTCCCCTGCATAGTCATGGATTCCCTTTTGCCAGGTTCTGCTCCTCATCTTGCTATTCGGTCGATCTCATTTGTGATCATCCTTACATGAGTTCTCACCGATGGCTTGCGTTCACCATCATCATCATCATCATCAATATTATTATTATCATCATCGTGAAGGGTGAATTTTCTTCATAGTATTGCATCGTTATGTCCTCACCGGTGACAGAGACGAGGAAATCGACTCTAACTCTCACGAGAGAGCAGCTACTGACGAAATTTGGAGAGTCTAAGCACACAATCATTGGTGAGAGACTAGCGTTGAGGAATTGTGAGGGAGAGCAAGATTGGCAAGATTCTATGTTATCTATATCGATCTTGGAATTCATTTTTATTTGTGAAATAATGCGTTTCTAGGATGGATCCTGAGTTTCGGAATTACTTGGTGAAGACGTCTAACAAGTATCGGAATATTTGTTCGGTTTCCTCAACTGAACTCGGGAGTTCCCTCACGAAAATTTACACACGACTTGGGGCAGAAGTGTACGAGGACCAACGAGACTTTCCCGAAATTTTCTCTGGATTTTATATTCTAGCAAACATATGTTGTTGACATTGTGAAATTTTCTTGATATTATATTCCACGATTTGTTATTTTCAAATTTATTTAACTCTAAGTGTCCTGCGTAGTTACTCTTATCTGATTTGGTCACACCTCACCATGTGTTAGATACTGTGCTGAATGCCAGAGATCACGGTAAAGCGATAGACGTTCCTGAATACCAAAACGTGAGATCATCGGAAAATTTATGACGTTATGGAAATTTTCAGATAGAAAAATTGGTGAGGAAGGCGATCCGATTTGGCCGGAAAAAAGAGGAAAATTCACCAAAAGCCGTTTCTGGTAAAACTCGATGCACTGAACATGAAAAATTATCTCACTTAGTGACGGAAGCATCTGATGTGAGCTCTCGTAATGATCCTCGTCTGAAACCTGTAAAAGAACTGCCGAGACAACGACCATTTCACCTCCAGAAGGAACAGGTGAAAAACGCGCATTTCGTAAACCAAAAAAAGGGAGAAATGGAAAACGCGGTTACTTACGCACGGGGGAAGCTACTCTTGTATAGGCGGCTAAAGCTGGTGTGGGGTGCAAGGCGAACGGCCAGTATGATTTGATTATTGAATACGATTCTTATATGCATGCACTAGAAGAGAAGGAACGATCCCACAGAGAAAAACAGATGAAAAAAGTAGGATTTTTTCATATATATACAGTGCGTGTCAACTCGATATGCAAACGTGAAAAAAGTAGGGAGTTTTCATCTTCTGCATGCGCGTAGGTTGCACTACATACATTAATCTGCATCTGATTCTTAGAAGTTGGTCAATAACGCATTCACCTCTTTTGTGTGAATGCGCTTGCCTCTAGTTTCCTGTTTTCTCACGTGAATTGCGCGTGGTATGGTATGGTATTTGCAGTGTATAGTATTATCAGGACTATAAAAAAGAACTCGACAGTCAGATGGCTGCTAAGCGCGCCACTTTGGTCGACAGAGCGCGGGTGCACGAGGGAGACAGACTAGCCATGGTGGGTGACTAATTTTGTGGCGCGCGACAAATCTCACTCAGTTGGAAGCTGGGGAAAACTTCAAGCAAGAAAACGATGAAGAGGCGAGAAAGAAGAAAATGACGAGACTAGTTATGATGCAGGAGGCGGAGGATGTGAACTCGCTTTTTATACTCCGCTGTTTTGAAGTTCACAGCTCAGGCTCAACGAATGATACGGCGAAGGCTGCGAAGAGAAATGGCAGAACGCGATGCTGAGCGGAAGGAAAGTTTACAAAAGGTGAAGATCTGATTGGTCGTGAATATAGTCTTCGAAATGTGAATAGACGGGTATTATAGCGTATATGGTGATGATGATGGAGTGTTCGGAAATTGTGGGATGATATTTTGGTAGAATCTGGACGCCGCATGTTGAGATGTAATCGTCGACTGTATCTGAAAATGTTCTCATCGTGAATACCGGGCCAAAGGATCGAATTCTAACTGAGACTATAAAGACTTGTACTGATGATGAGTACGAGGCAATGAGCTAGCCGCACGCAAGCACATAGCTACCCAGAAGCGCTCGCCGTTCATTGCCCCCCGAGGGGCCTCGTCACATCTTCCTACAACACTGGTGAACATTTATAGCAGTAAAGTATATGTCAACACACAGGGGCACTGAACTTGAGTAAACGGAAAAAACGCTTTTTCTGCAAAAGTTGGAGGATTTTGA